ACCCTGATCTCCAAGGAGAAGCTAATAATATCTGTCCTGGGAATTCACAGATTTCAAAGCTTGAAGAGATCAAATGACATCACATGTGTGTGGGTTTTGGAAGTGTTGGATAAGAGTGTAAGTGCTATAATTATTATGGTTATCAGTATAAGCATTGATGACGTATTTGATATCCTGGCCTTATTGTTCCTTCTGCTCACTACTGTGGCTCTGTCCTCTGTGATATGTCACCACCATTGGCTGCTGGTGTTCAGAACATTGCACTCACAGGCTTCTGAGAGGTTCCCTCCCTGCCCAACCTCCCGAAACACCCTTGGAAGATCCGGTTTACCTAGAACTGATGGGTGTTCCTGTATGCAGGGCTTTCAGTGCAAAAACAAAGATGCTATTGTTGTTGTTAAGTGCTGCTGAGTCAGTTCTGACCCATAGCAACCCTGTACAGGGTTTCCAAGGAGTGGTTGGTGAGCTTGGACCACCGACCTTGTGGTTCAAACCGACTTTGTAGTCTGACGCATTAGCCCACAGCACCACACCAGGTAAATTGGAATGACTGGTCATCCTGTTTTCCTCTCTACCTCCAGGCCACTCCTCCTTTCCTATGGCCACCACCATGTCCCCTCCCTGACATGTCCTCATACGCTCCCACACTCTGGTTGGCCTCTCCCTGCCTTGAAGCATCTAGGCTGGGTGACAGCCACCAAGCCATGGTGCCACCCATGATCACTCCAAAGGCCATCCTTCTTCCAACAATCCCTTGGCTTTCCATTGGGCCTTTTCCTCCACCTCTAGAAGCGGTGCCACACCTTTTGCCTTGAGGGTAGGACCCTTCTTACATTTCCCTTAAGGGTGGGACCCCTTCCATACCTCATTCCCATGAAAGACTCCTGTGCTGCGCTTCAAGGGGGGGGGGGGTGTCTGCCCATGTGAACCCACCAGCCCTCTGCCAGCCCCATTAGTACCTTCCCCACAAGACCAGCCCCCACAAGACCAGCCAGGTTTTCTCCTCCCTCTTGACCCAGAGAAAGGAGTATCCTGGGAACATATAGGGAAACCATTTTGCTGCTCACATCTGTGAGGGCTCCTAAGCCTCAAACCTAATGCTGTGTTGGTCCCTCCAACACACTGTGTCCAGCCTCCAACCACGCTAAGACTCTGAGGTCTCCAAGGTCCACCTTGTTACTTCATCTCTCCACCCTCCACTGCCCTGCTTGGCCTACACCCCTCTGTCCTACACCTGGACACAACCTCCTAGCTGCACTCTCTGAGCCAGGCCATGTTGGCTTCCTAAATGACTGAATGCATTTAAAGTGAGCCCCTCTGGACTACAGGGTCATGTTAGCACCTCAGTCTGTCCTTCAGTCACTTCTCAGTCTAGTTCCTACCTTCCTAATGGCAGAAGCCACACCACTTTCCTGCTTCTCACCATGGTGCTCTTCTGTACCCATGGAATGCCCTCTCATTACCAGCCCCTTGCCTGAGTCCTGCTCATGCCTGATCTCAGGTTCTGCCAAGTGTCTCTGAGGTGGAGCTTGGGTCTTCATCCTTTTGTCTTCTCAATTGCCTAGGTCAAGTAATGCAAACCATAGGTGCCCTCCTAATGGTATGCCATGGACCAGCCCTGGTGGGGTAGCTTTCAACCTCTGGTTATGGACAGCTCTGGGAGTCAAGGCGGGAGCCTGTATGGGTCCTCCACGGAGGACAGGGTCCTGAACAAAGGAAACCCCAGGGCTGGGCTCCACCCACGGTTCTCCTCCCACTGCTGGGCCTGGAACTGGAAAGTTGGAGATGCCCCAGTGCCGAGTGGACCCTGGAGAGCAAAACGGAGGCGTGTGTTCCCAGACTAGTCCTTGCTCTGTCTCATGACTCCTTAAAAGTTTGGACCTGGGCCTGCCCTGCTCTAACATCTGCATTCTTGGGAGGGGTGTGGCGCAGAGGAGTTTGTCTCTGACCTCTGGAGTCTACCCAGAGCCAGTCCCTCTAGTCCTACCTCCTGCACTCTGGGTCCTCCTCACCCGGAGCAGGTTGTGAGAGCCTTCAGAGGCCTGCACAATGATCTCCAGCAGTTTCTTGAGATAGGAATGGCCACAGGAGGGCAGAGGCAGTGGCTTTGTAGGAAAGGAATGTCATACTCTAAGCCACTCTTTTGTTTCTCCCTGGCTCCTTACTATTTTGAGGGTTGTGCCTTGAGGTGATGGAACAACTAGACCATCCCTGAACAGAGAAAGAGGGTACAGCGTGAAGTATCAGCAGAATCTGCGTTGGCAGGTCAGCCCCACTGGCTTCTAGTCTTATCTATTCCGCAAACAAGCTGTGTGGCCCTGGGCAGATGGCGCTGTCTCTCCGAGTCTCAGCTTCCTTATCAACAAAACAAGGGTTTTACAACTAGGTAGGTTTTTCTGGTAGCATAGTGGTTACGAATCGGGCGAACATCAAGGTCAGCAGTTCGAAACTACCAGCTGTTCCGCGGGAGAAAGATGAGGCTTTCTGCTCCCGTAAAGACTTACAGCCTTGGAAACCCGATATAGGGTCGCTATGAGTCGGAACCAACTTCATGGCACATAACCACCAGATTTCTCTAGATTGACAAAGTTTGGGGAAGAGTTTCTGGAGAACAAGACCCGCGGATAGGTGGAAATCCCCGCGCTTCTCCGCCCCCAGCAACCAGGTGCTCGTAGCTTGGCTGCCCTCTGGTGGTAATAAGGAGTAATTGCGCCACAGTCCCACTGGGGAACAACATGCTGGTCACATCTCTCCCTGCCCCAGGTAGAGAAGCACAATAGGGTACTTCACCATTCACTACTTCCTTTAGAACCCTTAAGACTGCATGCCTTTTGGGTGGAGATGAAGGGAGACATCACAGCTATGCACAGGACAGCATGATCTATCCACTCATGTGTTCATTCTGCAGGCACCCGTGAAGGTTCTATAATACGTAAATGTTCAATGTGAGGCACTGGGGATTCAGAGGCACTTACTTGGTGCACCATCCCTGCCCTCAGGGTGCCTCTGGAAGTGGCCAGGAAAATCACAGACTCTAGAGAGTCTGAGAGAATGCAGGGGAGCTCAGAGGTGCAACACATTGAGGAATGCTGTGAAAGGTCATATCCAAGAACTTTGATGAAGGCTGGTTTGTCCCGGGTTCTAAGCATAACAATTGTAAGGATGGAGCTGAACCAGGTAGCATGCTCTGTTGTGCATAGGGTTGTTATGAGTCAGAACCGACTCCAAAGCACCTAACAACAACATAGGCTTCTGACCTGTTGAGCCAGGAGGTTTCTGCTTCTAGATTAGGGGTGTGTCTCCCTGTTGGCCCTTCCAGAAGGACCTCCCTGCCTACATATTGGCTGATTTCTACCTGTGCCTGATGCTCCACTCTCCCTACTCTGGATGGAAGCAAGTGTCAGGGGCTAACAGACCCTGTCTACCCTCCTCCTCTGACTGGGTCTGGGGACCTGGATTCCAAAGAGGGTGGGGAACATTAGGTCTCAGCTGCCATTTCTCCCTCCCAGGCCAGTGCTCTGTGGACCTCCCTGCCCAGTAACACAGTGTGGGGGTAGTGACAAGAAGCTTGACCACCAACCCACTCACTTCTGAAGCTGGGCTGCACCTCAGCAGCCTGTGTGGGGCAAGAGGAGGAGAGGGTGGGAGAATGAGGGAATGTGTGTGAGAGAGAAGAGGCCCATGGCGCAGAGCCTGGTGCGTCACTGGAGCTGGGAAAGGAGACGGAGAGGAGTCTGACTCAGTGGGAACATCCGGCAGGAAAGGAAGATGAGAGCGCAGTGGCATTTCCAAGCAGGATGGGAACTCCGGGGCAGCAGAGATCGGGTGTGGGGTCAGGGGTGCTGTGTGAAGGAAAGGGGCTGATCATGGTGGGGAGGGTGAGGCGGAAGGGGCATTTCTAGGAGGGAGCAGTCCCAGCCTTGATCTGTGGCTCCCTAGGCTGGTCTGGGGAGGAGAGAGAAGACAGCTGGACTTTCTGTCCTGGATTGTTGTTGTTGTTGTTGATAAGTGCCGTCAAGTCGATTCTGACCCATAGAAGGGGACAAATTGTGGCATGGGGTTAAGGAGACTGAGTCCAAATTCGGGTGTGGGGAATGCAGGAGCTTTTGACCCTCACTCATCTCATGGTTTAGGAATCTGGTCCCTGTAGCTACTGAAAAAGACAGAGGGACCACTCCTCCTTGCAGAACCCTCAAGTTCCAGGTCCTAGAGGTTCTCCCAAGGAGGGCTGCTAGGCCGCTGTTCCCTGGGCAGGGAGAACCAGCCTCAGCTGCATGGAGAAGATGGGAGAGAGGCTTTCCCAGGGAGAGCCCCACCCCCGGTGAGACAGCAGGTAATCCAAGTCCAGAGAGGCTGAAAGAACCAGGCCTAGAGATTAGGAGTCGGTGGAGGGAAGGCTGTTGGCCCACTTGGAGCTGTGGTGGCAATGGCCCTAGAAGAAGGCCCAGTTTCCTGTGCAAAAGGACTAGAAATTCAACCAGCCAAGCCTCAGTCTGTCCTTCACTGACTGTGTCGCTCAATGTAGTTCAACCTAAAGGAATAAATGACTAATGGTGTTATTTTAGGTATGTGATGTTTGGTGACCTGGGATGAGGAACAGAGCAGTAAGCTTCTTGGTCTCTTCGAATTTCTTACAGTGAGCAGAACAGCATAGGTATATTTGAGGTGGGGGTGGGGCCTCAGACCATGGGCCCAATGGGCTGGACGGTGTCTTATAGGCCTTTCCTTACTAGATCATATGGGGGGGACATAGGCTGAGATTGCCCGTCTGTTTGCAGGCTATCCAGGCTGCGCAGCAGGGTCCTCCTGTGTCGGCTCAGTCTGCCAGGGAGAAGCTCTGATAGTCTGTCTGGGGATGCTGGGGCAGGGCGTGGAGAGGTGCTGGGCAGGGCCAGCTGGCCGCCAGTGCCCTGGTCCTCACCCTCCCAGAGTGTAGGGATGGGGGCGGTGACCGTAGCTTTTCTGGCTGGGAGCCCAGAGGAGTCTTTTGTAATCACAACATGATCTCGTGTGCTGAGCAGTGAAGCCGGCAGGGAGAGGCCGGCAGAGGTCTGGTTCCAGTGGTTCCAGCTTCCCTCCCCGCTCTGGCTCCCCTGGGGCTGCTCTGGAATTCTCTCGGTGTCTGCTGCTGTTGTCATGCACTTGGCTGTGAGTGCCACCTTGCCTTTGGCGGGGGGCTTCTTGGGGATAAGGGTGGGAGTGGCTAGGATAACAGGCAGCCACACTCTGAGAGCAGCTGGGGACAGCTGGGCCTGGGAAGCAAAGGGCTGTGCCTAAGCAGTGGAGGACGGGGCTGACCGGTAGTCAGGTGGGGAGGGACCCGGGAATCTCACTCCAGGGGCACAGCCTACTTTGGGTGGTTCCTGGCTGGGCTTGCTGAACAAGGAGGACTCGCTGAGACTGTCAGCAGTCCAAGGCCCAGAGAAGCTAGGCTTGTTGGAGCAGCACTTGCCCAGGCTGAACACAGGCCCAGGGAGTGGGGTCCAGGGCCTGGTAGCTCAGAGTGGAATAGGGGCCTCTTTTTTTTCCTGTGACTCTGAGCCTGGGAGCCAAACAGCTCCCGCCTCGACCTCCTGAATCCCTTGGCAATTTCCCAGTCACGGCAGGTTTCGCTGCCAGAGCCATTTATAACTCCTATTCCAGGCTCTGCTTGGCAGTCTAGCTCCCTGGAGAGCTGGGGGGAGGGGCAGCCCACTGCTGGTACTTCAGGCTTGGGTATAGGGGGCCCTGACCTGATCCCCTAGGAGGTAGAGAGGCAGGCAGATAGGCTGTTGAGGAGGACACTTGGGGTCTTCCACGAACCACTCCTTCAGGATCCCTCTTCTTTCCTATGGGGCCCAGCTCTGGGCCTGAGTTTGCTCTTTAGGTTGTAAGAATATGGTTAGGTGGGTGAGTGTGAAAGTTGGGGAACGGGCAAAGGATGGGACCTGCAGCCAGGAGCTTGGGCCTTCTTCCTGTGCAGGGACCTCCTGGGGCTGAGTCCCCAATGAGGAGGCAGGAAGAGAAGGATGCTGAACTGGACCGGAGGATAGTTGCCCTTCGCAAGAAGAACCAGGCCTTACTCCGAAGGTACCAGGTGAGTGGGCTGGCTGCTGGTGGGCTGGGAGGATACGCTTGGATGCTGACCCGAAGACCCCACACAGCACACTGTCCTGGAGGCCACACTGGCATCAGGCTCAGGAATGTGCCTCTGGGCTTGGAGCCAGCACTGGGGCTTGCATGGTCCCTCTCAGTGACTCAGTCAAAGGTGTGGGCACTCTGTGATCCTCTACCTCTGCCCCCTGGTGTCCCACTGGTGTCTCTCTGTGTAGGCCTGTTGGTGTCTGTGTCTGTGAGTCTGGGGGGCCATGGCCTGTGCTGACCCCAGGCCCTCCCACAGGAGATCCAGGAAGACCGGCGCCAGGCGGAGCAGGGGGGCATGGCTGTGAGCATGCTGCAACCCCCTCCATCTGACAGCCTCACCGTCACCATCAGCCAGGTTCCTGGCGTAAGCTTCACCCCATAGACAGCCAAGTGGTGACCCCGCCCTTGTTAGGGAGGATCACCCTCCTCTTCTCCTCCCACCTACAGTTCTGGGGTATACCCACCATCTCCAACAGTCTAGACCATTGCTGCACACCCTAAATGGCCAGAGCTGAAAGACCACCAAATGGAAGCCTCCCGGTTCTGGCCCCATAGCCCTGCACCCAATGGCCCAAAGCAGACTGCTCCTAAACCCCAAAACCCAGGGGCTAAAAACTCTGCTAGAAGTAGGGGACAGCTAAATGCCAGGGTCAGTGTCTGAGGCACAAAGTGTCATTGTCTGGGTGCCCTGGATTTCCCAGCTCAGAAATGATGGGCCACTATGTGGTATCTTGGCGTCTGGTGGCCCTGGGCCCTGGATAACTAATGCTATTGGCATTTGAGAGGGGCGGGAGTCAGATTCTCTGAGGGCATTCCAGAGAGGGCTGGTGCTGGGAGCCACTCAAAGGACCCAGCAGCCAGCTCCTGCCCAGCTCTTGCCATGTGCCCTACAGGAAAAGCGAGTGGTCAGCAGAGCAAGGAGTGGCCTTGGGCCTGGTGCAGCCAGTGAGATGCTTGAGAATGAGGATGAGGACTACACTGCTGCCTTCTCCTTGGGGGAGCGGGTGGAGCTGGCTGTCACCATGGAAAACAAAGCTGAGGTGAGCAGGGTGAGGAAGAGGGGACCAGTCACCAGGAGGAGTAGACTCTTCTTCCCTGGCTCCCTCATCTCTCCAGGCCAAGAGGATCGTAAGTGAAAAACCCATCAAAGCAAGGAACCAGGGGACAGGTGGACCACCCGGAGGGGGCTTCAGAAGGGACTGCCCTTCACAGATCACTACCAGCTTGAATTCTGTGAGGAAGGTACATCTTTAAGAAAGGATAAGAGAGAGTCCTGGTGTGGTGCTGTGGGTTAATGTGCTGGGCTGCAAAGTCAGTTTGAACAGCAACGTCAGTGGTTCAAACTCATCAGCCTCTCCTTGGAAACTGTACAGAGTGACTATGGATCGGAACCGACTAGAAGGAACAACAACAACAACAGGGACATTTAAGTGGGGTCCTAATTTGGGGAAGACAGAGATGCTGAATCAGATATGTTCCCCATCTGCAGGGGCAGACACAGTAAGGCAAGCCACCTCCCTATCCTACCTAGCCTGACAGGATGGGAAACCCTGGCCCCTTTCTGGACCTGTTGGTGGTTGAGGAGAGGGCTGGCCATGTGCCAGGTGTGACCTCTAGGTGGCAGCAGCCCCTAGTCCTTGCTCTTGCTCATAGTTCCTGGGTGCCCCTCCCACCCTCGCGACGCCCTTATGAGATTGGTTTGGTTGGTATGTGCCGTGGAGTCGGTTCCGACCCATAGCAACCCTGTACAGGGTTTCTGAGACTGTAAATCTTTACGGGAGCAGAAAGCCTCATCTTTCTCCTGCAGAACAGCTGGTAGTTTCGAACTGCTGACCTTGCGGTTCGCAGCCTGATGCGTAACCACTGCTCTACCAGCTTATGAGATAGGTACTATTATTATCTTCATTTTACAGATACGGAAATGATACACAGAGAAGTTAAAGAACTTGCGGGAAACAGAGTTAATAAGTGGATGGAAACCATTCCCCAAGCAATACACGTTAGAGACAGAACAGAACCAATTTGTAGGAGGGCAAGTGGAGGTTCTGAGAGGGATAGTTCTAGCTCTCAGTGCTATTTCTGCTCCTACCCCATGGTGCCCAGTGCCTTCTCTTCACAGGGTGTCCAGGAGCTCCAGAGTCCAGGCAGGATCCCAGGCCCAGCTCCCCAGTGGTCAGCAGGGGGACTCACAGAGGTGGGCTGGGATTATGTCCAGTGGAAGCAGGAGCGGGAGCAGATCGACCTGGCCCGCCTCGCTAGGCACAGAGACGCACAGGGTGACTGGCGCCGCCCGTGGGACCTGGACAAGGCCAAGCCCATGTGGGTGGCAGGGCCAAGCAGCTTGCTGGGCTGACACACATGGGGATCTGGGACTAGGGCTAAGTGTGGGTGTTGCCTGAGGCTGGTGTGACCCTCCCCAGAGGTGTAGGGCTCTGCTTTACCTTCTCACAGGGCTTGGGCTCAGGGGTCTTAAGCCACCATCTCCTTCCTCCTTTCTGTTCTGGGTCTGGGTCGGGATGTGGTGTTGGCGTGGGTCCTGCTGCAGTCTCTGGCCTCCCTGCCAGACAGCAGCTTGACTCCCCCTCCATGTCTACACAGGTCACTGGGCCCCAGCAACCCCAGGGAAGAGGGCTTTGCCCGGGGCAGCAAAAGGGGTGAGTCAGCTCTTAGTGCCCCTCACCCATCTCGTTTTCTGCTTCCCAGTTATTTTCAGAGCTGGAAAGAATCATGGAAGAACATCTTCCTTTCCTCATTCTCAGAGGAGGGTGCCTGCACCTCCCCTCCTATCCCTCAAACTCCAGGTCACTGAAGGAGCTCACATGGAAGGCCCTTTCCAGGGTGTTGGTCCCTCCTGTGTGGGAGTCCTACACTCCCTGTTTCCACCTTCAGTGCCAGAACAGAACACTGCTGGCCCTTACTTTATGCTAAGAGGAAGCTGGGGCCAGACAGGTGAGGTGGCTTGTCAGAGTCACCCAAAAAGGAACAAAGTAAACACAGGAGCCCAGCTCTCCAGCCCCACTAGGCCAGGGCTCTTTTCAGAAGGCAGAAACCCCACAACTGGACCAAGAGAAGGACTGACAGTTTTCTGGTCCCAGAGATAAAAATACCCCTGCCTTGGGTCATTTGTCACCCACCCCCATCCCTATTTCCATTGCCTGCCTTAGGTTCCAGGAGCCACCGGAAGCAGCAGCCCCCACCATTGGCTCCTGATGGGAAAGGTGTGTTGGAGAAGGTGGATGGATGGGGGAAGGGTGGTGATGGCTCTCCTCTCCTTGACTTGGTGGTAATCTCTTACAGGTGGTGCCACTAGGGGTGGGCAACAAGGCAGACCCTCGGTGGCACCGGCCACAGGCAGCAAAGCCCAGGGGAAGGAGAGGCTGACGGGTAGGGCCCGAAGGTAACAGACTGCAGGAGCAAAGGAGCATCTGGGGCTCCCCATTTTCTGGATTGCCCCTCTTCCTAGGAAAGCAGGCCCTGGTGCCCCAGGTCCTCTGCTCCCTACTGACTGCTGCCTGGCAGCAGGTGAATGAGATGCTGAGAGAGGCCATCAGCAGAGGCAGCGGCAGTGAGAGCCTGGTGCCCAGGGAGGCGGGCAGTAATTACAATAGTCACCTTCCCCCGGGAAGTCAGGCTCGCCTTTCCCAGGCAGTGCAGGCAGGGACATGCCTAGAGTCCCTATAGATCCGCAAGGTGCTGCGGGCCATGGGTATAAACAGCAGCTGGGGACCTGGGATGGGGCCAGGGTGGGAGGTGTTCAGAGGAAGTGGTTGAATTTTGGGAGCAAGGTCAGGCTGTGAGGGAAACAGCCTGGAGTCTCATTCCAGCTCTGATCCTTTCTGAGACTTTTGGACTTTAACTTCTCCCTGGGGGACCTGGCCATTGGTGGTGGAGGAGGTGATGTGAAGTGGGAATGGGTAGCAGGAGGGACTGCCACATACTGTGTTTCTACAGGTGGGAAGAAAAGGAGGAGCCCAAGACTCATAAGGTGGGTTACTTGGGCACAAGGTGAGGTGGATCCGGAACAGGGGTCCAGAATTTACTAGCCACAGGGCCAATCTTGTGTTTCAGGGAAGTCAAAGCACCAGTAAGACTCCAAGTGAAGATGAACATGAACAGGAGCAGAGCGGAGCAGAGGCGGGCAAACTAGGGAGTGCCCCAGCCACCAGCCCAGCCCTGGCATCCCCAGAGGGGCCTAAGGGGGAGTCAGGGACTTTGGCATCCAGTTCAGCTCCTGGCTCTCCACAACAGTCTGACTTGGCTCCCCTTGACCTCTCTCTAGGAGGGGCCAGAAGCCCAGGGCCTGGGGCCCAAGAAAGTCCAGTGATCTGGCTGGATGGTTCAGAGCAACCTCAATGGACTAAACAGCAGACCGTGCCACAGGTGCAGACTTGCTCTGAGCCACAGAGTGGAGCAGGGCCCCTACAGCTCAGAGAAAATGGGTCTGGCAAGGTTGGGACCCAGCAGGACCTGGCACCAAGAAGCAGGCCTGCTAGAGGAGCCAGCCAAAGGGCAAGAGGCACTGGAGGAAGTGTGAGGAGCAGGACAGGGGGGCCTGGCCCTGCAGGAAGATGCTGAGCACAGTGCCTGGGAGCTGGGAGCCAGGACAGAGAGGGAAAACTCAGTTGGGAGTCTTCTGTTTGATGAGTATCTAGTTGCTGGAAGCTTGTGCTAGGTTGGCTGAGGAGTTTGGCAAACTCTTCATTCCTTGCACCTCATCATCGGTCCACCCCAGTGTGCGTGTGTGTGCTTTCATGTGTAGGTGCAGCCCCTGCTGGCCCCTGGTCAGCCCCTTCCTGGCCTACTGCTGCCCAGACTACATTCCCTGCCATGGTGAGAAGTCAGGTTTGGAAGCACTTGACACTTGACTCCCTATCATCCCCAAGGGCTTGGGTTCCAGCCCCAGCTGCCAGCTTCAGGTTTCTCAGGTGCAGGTCCCCTCAAAGCCAGGGCCCTTTCCCACACCCTGCTTTGAATCAAGTAACTCCCAGTCCCAGACTCATCAAATGGCAGAGTCACGGGGATCTTAGTGGCCATCTGCCCAACCTTCTTCTTTTCCTGAAGAGGGACTGAGGCCCAGAGACAGGAAAGGCCACATAACTGGCAGGAACTGGGCTGGGAATCGAAAGGTAGAGTTCAGATCTTCTCTAGGAAGCATATGATCATTGGAAAGGCCTCGTCTCTGAACGGAGGTGAGGTGGGGTAGGGTGGGGACCTCCTCTCACCACAGGATAGGAAGAGCGAGCTAACCACTAGGAAGCCCTGCAGATCAGACTGCAAGTGACCCAGGGTCATTTCCTGCCCACTCCTACTTCCTTTTCCCTTAATACCTCCCCTAACCATGACCAGGGACTTAAGAGACTCCAGCTAAGTATGACAACAGGACTTGTCTCTCTTTCTTGGTCTCCATTCTCGCCCCTCCCCCTGGGGCCCACGTCTGGTGAATTATCGACTCCGCACAAGCTGTGGCTTCCTCTCAATTCAACAAACATTTCCTGAGCACCCACTAGGAGTAATTGGCCGGTGGGCGATGGTGACTTTGCCAGCAAGAGGGAGGGAAGAAACCCAGTCATCCGGCAGATCCAGACTGACAGCAAAAGCTGAACAGACATCTTGGCTGGAGGTGCCTGGCAGAGGCTGGGGCACAATGGTGGTCAGGTCCCAAATGGAACGGCCCCACTTCTGCTTGGCAAAGGCTGGTGTGCCTCTCTTTGTTGAGATGTGTGCTCTCTGCCCTCAAACCCTTGTTTGGTTACCACAAGTGGTCCCCTCTGTTCTGCCCTGGGGGGGCTATGGGGAGTGTCCACATCAGCCCCAGGGTATCTCCTTTGTTCAAAGTGAGGCCTACACTGTGGGGTCCTAGCCGAGTTTCCTCTCTCCCAGGGTTCACTGGCTCTTGACCCCATCATCTCCATACAGGAAGCATAAGCATCAAAGTATCTTCAGCACATCAAGATTGTTAGATGCAGGTGGGGGTGGGGGGGTAAGCAAGGGAGCTTCTCCCACTTTAATGTACAGATGAATGCAAATTCTTATTCAGAGGGTCTGGATTGGGTTTAAGACTTTGCATTTTTAATAGACTCCCAAGTGATGCCTATGCTATTGGTACTGGACACTATTTGAGTAGTAAACATACATATGGAGGGCTGGGAGACCAAAATAGACGTTAGGGGCTTAAAGGCTGGTTACTGGAAGTGTCAGGGATGGGGCAAGTGCTGGCCATGCTGGGTGAGGGGTGAGTGGGAAGTGGAGGCTTCTGGGAAGGATAATTGAGAGGGCAATGTGTGGGTGCTGCCACCTTCCTGTGGGAGAATGAGAGGGAGCAAAGGGGAGTGGACAAGATGGGTGCATGGTTGATTAGAGGAATTTGGGGGCCGCTGAGGCACATTCCTATGCAGGTGGGAGGAAGACCCCTGTGAGACATGCATTGGCCAGGGTGAAAGATTCCACGCTCCGGTTTTCCTCTTGCCTCCCAGTCACTCATATGTGGCTTTGGAAGGCAGTACAGGCCTTGAAACCTGTGGCTCCCAAAGGCTGGTGCTGAGGTAGAGCAGGCTCAGGCAGAGCCCTTGAATTTGAATGTCTCCGAAAGCTATTTTGATCAAGAATTTGAATTTTAACATTCACACACTGCTCCCAAACCCTCAGTGCTGCCAACTGTGTACAGCTGTGCCTTCCTTAAAGGGTAGATGCATGTTTGGCTCTGGGATGGGGGATGTACAAATGGGGCGGAGCTCTGGTTCAGCCCTCACAACAGGATTTACAAACGAGGGAGGGAAAGCTGGGCAGTAGGGCTCAGGAGGGAGACACAGGTCTTCTTTCCCTAAAGTAATATCCAGAAGAATGTTGGGAGAAAGGATGGCATGGGAGTCTCTAGGGGTTGGAGAGAATGGAAGCTGGGCACATGACATCTTTGTTGTAGGAAGATTAGGGTTCAAGGCAAGTCACACTGAACTTTCCTTAATAAAGAGCCCTGGTGGCGCTGTGGGCCAGGCATAGGAGTGCTAACCACAAGGTTGGAGGTTCAAACCCACCAGCCAATCATGGGATAAAGATGAGACTGAATGTCTGCTCCTCTAAAGATTTACAGTCTTGGAAACCCGAAATAGGGTCACTGAGTTGGGATCTGAGTTGGCAGTGGGTTTGGGATTTTCCTCAGTGAATGGGAACTCTACTTTGGGACAGGAGCCCTGGTATCACGGTGGTTAAACCGCTCTGCTGCTAACCAAAAGGTCAGCGGTTTGGAACAGTTCCACAGGAGAAAGATACAGCAGTCTGCTTTCATAAAGCTTACAGCCTTGGAAACCCTAGGGGGTAGTTAGTTCTACTGTGTCCCTACAGGATTGCTGTGAGTTGGAATTGACTTAGCAGTGGTAGGTTTGGGTTTACTTTGGGGTTAGGGTAGAAATGGCTGTGGTCTCCTTCCTCCCTGCCCGCTCTATGATGAGCCACCTATGGAGTCGTAGGAAGCATAGACATCCCTACCCACAAACCTCGGGGTCATGGAAGACTGGCTGTATCTCCTCCTGGCTCCTATGAGTCTTCCTCTCAGCTGCCCTTCTCCTCTCCCACCAACAGACAAAACTCCAAGGTGGTTAGTTGTTCCTTAGACAAGGCTATCAGAAGGCCAGGCACAGAGCTGGAGGACCTTGGAGAGGAGGGAACACGAGTGGTGTAATGAGGCAGCAGAGAAAAGACAGCTTCATGTGAAGTGAGAAGGGCAGAAGAGGCGAGAGGTCTGTGTCCCAGGCTCATCTTCCTTTGGCAGAAGGGAGATTCCATAAACTAGACTGTAGGAGAGGAGGATTTTTGGATAGGCAGCATGGTAGAGTGGAATCACAGAGTGAATCTGAACCCTAGGTTGGCTATCTGCTAGCTGGGTGACCCTGGTCAATTTTAACTTCTGTACATGCCAGTTTCTCTATCTGCAAAATGGGGCTAGTAATACCTACTTTTAAGGGCTGAGAAAATGAGAGATAAGATTATATAAACCATACATGGTCCATTCTATTAACAGTAGCCTGGCTCAGCAAATATTTGCTAAATAAATGAAGTAGCTATTTGGTGTGATCTCTACTTTCTTTTTCTTTACCTTCTCTTCCAGCCTCACCTTCACTGAGGAGGTCACAGTATGCTCTCAGGGAAACAAGGATGGTTTGTCCAGCCTTACAGGACAGTTCACTTCTTTTAATTCCTCTGGGTTGTCTATTGTTGTCATTAAGTTGCTTCCAACTCCTAGAAAGCCTGTATAGAGTTTATGAGGAGCAGCTGGTGGGTTTGAACTGCTGACCTTGTGGTTAACAGTCCATTTAGCAGTCCAGTACTTATCCTACAATGCCACTCTGGGTTGTCTGTTATTGTTATTGTTAAGTGCTGTCGAGTCGGCTCCAACTCATAGTGTTCGTGTAGAGGTTTCTGAGGAGTAGCTGGTGAGCTTGAACTGCCAACCTTGCGGTTCAAACTGACCTAACCTTGCAGTCCAGCGCATTAACTCCCAACGCCACACAAGGACTCCCAGGGTTGTCTAGTCAGGTTAAAAAGCCTCACAAAGTGACTCTGTTTTCACAAGAAGTGCTCTTTGCCTCCTGCCAGCTCGATGACAAGGATGCCTAAAACACTTCTCCATCACTTCACATCCTGGCTCTTAGAGTCAGAATTTACACAAGTAGTGATCTGATGAAATCACCCCACACTTTTTGCTTCTTTAATATTTTCCCTCCAAACAACGCCCCTTGTGGAGTTTGCTCCATGCCTCCCAGAGTCGAGTTTGGGGAGCATCTTCACTATATTCCCTTATGGGGAGCTAATCACCGAAGCTGCGGATCACCGAAGCAGGAGAAAGGCCCTAGCTACCTAACTAGGCACACATTTGGAATGTTTAATCACTTGTCTACGCCAGCCTTAGGGACAAGAGTGAGAGGAAACGATGGAATGAGTCCTCCAAAGAACAAAGGAAATGGTGAAAAGCATCTTATAGTCATATCTTTTTATTTGGGGGCCTTGATGAGGGGAGGGCAGGGTAAGAGAATAAAAGAGCCTAAAACACCACTTCCCTTCTGCTCTGGAGTCATTTATCAGTGTCCACAGACGCAGCCACAGCTTCGCTTTCAGAACAAGGGTTATCAGGACTTGTGAGGAAGGCCCAACACAGGGTGATCAAAACCTTACTGGGCAGAGAACTCAAGACTGGGGAGGGGAATGAGCAGCTGACTGACAGACTGACTGAGACTGCTTTCTCTCAGCCAGTCTGCTGGCCTTACGTCACAGTCCCCTCATTAAGCATCCACTTGACACCAGGGAAGTGAAACAGCGCAGACCTGGCACCAGAAAGAACAAACGTGGCACCCACTGCTCCTTTTAAGGACTGGCTTGAGGAGCAGCAGGCCCCGGGGGCAGGAGGTGAGGCAAACACAGCAATACCTTTGTGGGAGGGAGGGGAGGCTCCTTCAGGCCTGCCTCCTTCTTAACAAGCTCTGCAGAGCAACTTCTCCTGCTACTGACAAAAATAACTATTAATGTAGGCTTTCCCCCTTTTTTTTGCAAAGCCTGGGGACACAGTTTTTCCTTTCCCCCAAGAG